AGCAGGAGACATGGGCACCTTTTCTTGCGGTTTTGCATTTGGGCTCGCATGTTCTTCAGTGCCTAATGACGCATCTGCGCCACAGAACTTTCTGCGAGCTCAGCTGCGTCAACTTTGAACTTTTTATCTCGGTGAGGGGCATGGGTGTGCAATTCTAAGCTAGCGTGGTCTCGTGCCCAGACGTGTCGACGCGAAGACGTGTTGTCTTCGACACGTCTGGGTACGAGACCAAGCTAGCGTACTCCTGCAACTGAGAGCCCGGCTAAACATGTATCAATCCAACATCACCTCCATCGGATAAGCAAAGGATGCTCCACCTGCCACACATGCTCTGAAACTGTCCACCAATTCCTCCTGGAGTGCCCCATCTACAGATCACAGTGAAACGCACTACGATGGCAGATAGGCACGGACGCACACTCAATCCGCACGCTCCTGTCTGGTCTCGTGCCCAGACGTGTCGAAGACACCGACACGTCTGGGTACGAGACCACTCCTGTCCTACCCAAAGGCCATCAAGCCCTTCATGTTGTTCATCCAAGCTACGAGTCGTTCCACGTCTACCTTCAGTGAGCTCGTATGGAATTACTTACACTAGTGGTTCTTCACTCAATACTGGCTACTCGCTCCCCTTTCTACTTTCCACCTTCCTGTACATACCATAGGCTCTTTCGGTTCTCGGCCCGAGGTGAGTGCGTGCAGGAGATGATTCAGAGACGGAAGGAGTTTCGACAGTCGGTGGAAGACCACCGGACGGCTCCCTCCCAGCCGTGGTGCTGTCCTGAGGGGCACAATGGCCCCTAGCGGGAGGTTTCAATTCGCGTTTCTTGCCTTAAATGGCTGGAGTCTGGCCCTGTGATCTTGACGCCCTCATGCCGGTAATGTACAAATCTTATTCACGTCAATATTGTGTACGCTTTTCACTACTTTACTACCCCCTGGCCCCATACAGTACTCTAACTAACCGCTGATACTGCTACAATTCCGGACTGCACTCACGTGCGCACACCTTTGTACCCGCTGTCTACATATGGCTTGGTCCTCGCGGGCAATAAAGGGATGAGAAAAAATCCTACTGGCTCGCCACGGCCAGTGCCACAGTGGCTCTTCAGTGTATAGCCTTCGCCCCGTCGCCCCGCATGCACCATCAACCCCAGTCAGAATCAACATGAATTAAAATGAGAAAACCTAAATTGACATGAATTTCATGATTCAGCTTTCTTCACGCGTTTTCAACGTGATACATTGAGTGACCCGGTTTCTCGATTTAATTAATGTCACTTTCCACTGAGTGCGTAAGCGAGAGTGGCAAGTCCATACGCTCCAAGGACGCAAAAGGCATGACGCGCGTTCGCGCCTTGCGTTGCGTGCTACACTTATATGGTACTTCACCCTACGCATGTGTACTGTATATTCTCGAGCTGTATACATAACGATGTCAACAACCTTCACCGAGCCCCTGCGCATCGACTTCGTGCCTACCGCCAAAAGGTGAGACACTGGGACAATATACACTTCACGTTTGGTCGTATTCGTTCACATGCGTGCGACCACAATGGATGGATCACCGCGAAGCTCACCTCATGAATAGCACCAAGTCCTGATGAGTTGAGCTCCTCCCACTGCCAAATGCATTTCAATCTATCACGACATACTACACATAACCATGACTCGAACACAACCTCAGTCCAAATATGTGTCTTCAAGCAACTGGCGAGCCATGAGCTGACCAAGGATATTCGCACGACGCTGAGCCGGAGGCTGTATCTGACTCGGGTCTGGAGGAGCAGCCGAGTTCCCAGCCGAGTTCGCCTTGTCATGGTGTATAAGGTGGCTAGAGATGGACGGGCCAGGAAATCAGCATTGGACGCTGCTGTGAATGTCAACACTCACTTGAAGAAGTGCTCCACGCCACGCGCGTACAAGGCGTCCTCGATCTCACGCTTGCGCGACTTTGCTTTACTTGCCTCGCTTTTTCTTGTTCCTTCTTTGCTTTCGCGGCTGGCTCCTTGCCATTCTGCTGTGCCGTGGATTTGGCCGTTGCTACTTCTGCGGCCTCCTTTCCAGCCTTCTGTGCCGCGGATTTGACCCTTGCTACTTCTGCGGCCTCCTTGCCAGCCTGCTGTGCCATGGATTTGTTCCATGGAATGTTTTTTATCATCATTTGTTCATAAGCGTCATGCGTCTCTTTCTGTTGTTTTGCTATCCGCGCGGGCTCCGGCGTAGGATCCCTGTGTAGTGGTGTCAGCCATACGTGACATATCACAGTGAGCATAGAACGGCACTCACAACATATCTCCAACCTTTTCCTTCGTTGCCTCCATCAAATGTCCCGGTAGTATAGCCCCAACTTGACATGCAAACTTAACGCAAAAGCCAGCCATATCGAGACAATCCCTAAGAGTACGACGATCAATGACATCGTAGTCCCGTCCATAGACGTGGCTGTGAATCGCGTCAATATCACTGGGTGGCTCTGAGCATCACTTTGCACATACTTCATCGGAACAGAAAGAACTGGAAGAGTGGCTGCGCATAGAACAACGATGGTAGAAGCACGCATGATGAACAAAATGTATCAGGGAACGTAAGCTGAGAGGCTTGTAGTGAATGTCGTTAAGAGATCGTGTGCACAAATTAATGTAACAGAAGTCAGGCTGTAGAAGTGATGGTGAGTCCATCTCCCATCGCAGAGAAATGCAAGCGACTACGCACCAACCAGTACCGACTTGAGGGCTCGAAGAAAAAGAGGAGGAGCTAAAGACTCTGGCTGGATGGGTCTCTACTTATCCTTTCAGCTGAAACCTACATCAACGGGATGAATAAGGAGCCTCGAATCGCCGCCTTACCCGATGAGTTTCGCATGTTGACTTGAAACGAGCCGCAACTTAGAGCGATACTTGGGGCTGGTCTTGTACCCAGACGTGTCGAAGACACACACGTCTGGGTACGAGACCACTTTTCCGTAGAAAATCTAGAGCTGCAGTTCCTAGATCTTCAGCTCTAACTGTGGTTGAAACTACTGAAGCCATCTCAAATTACACGACCATCGCGGGTAAGAGCAGGCCCGCTGCAGCATCCTGAATACCAAAATGATGGCGGGCTCGTCACGCGGCTGCGGCTGCCGTCTGCCCCCGTCAGCCCTAGCCTCCTGCCCGCCCCTCCTGCCGTCGTCCCTTCCCTAAGACAGGAGTCCACGCCCGCGGCGTCCTTGTCCACCCCGCCCTCCTCCGTGCACAACAAGCAGCAATCACGGCCATCCGCACTCCCCGTGCAGCCATTCACTAGCGTTGCACAGCACCCGCACACTCTGGAGACAATCTTTGCAATGATCAAAGATCTCAGCAGCGCGTTCCTTCCCCCGTACATGGGAAGGAATGCGAATGGGTGATGCACACCCCAAGTGGCACGCATGCACAGTGATGGCAGTTGCTGCGCCAAGATTCTGCCTTTGCCTGTGCTCTCCTGTTCCCCCATATCCGCATCGTTTCATTTGACAGTAGGGAAGTTCAAAGATGCGCTTTTGGGCGCTAGAGAAAATGTGAGTTTCTGGAGCCGCGAGTTGAAAATGCAGTCACACTCACTTTCCTGTGTGACATCGACTCCCTTATCTCTGTGGGAAATGTCCAAAGGTGGAGCGCCAAACATAGGGAAATCATCAGTAGCTGAAGATAGCTTTTCTTGATCATGTTTGGAGCTCAAACGTGTGGGACGGACATTGTGGCAACATCCGTCGAACATGGGTATTCAGCCAATCAGCAGCTACCGATCACCCATGTTTGGTAGTCGAGCACTCCTAACGTTTAAGCTCCGAACACAATGAAAACTCGCTACCCCCTGCGAGTGTTCGACCGGATGTCCGCTACTCAAACTTTGGATACTGCCTGCGGTTATAGAGAACGCATGCTTCGCATTTGGCTGTAATGCTTGTTTGTTATCATGATGACTCAGAACAGGAAAAATAGAAATAGTATATCTGAGCGTGACATTAGATAAGCAGGAGACATGGGCACCTTTTCT